TTCAGCTGTAAAATCATAAACAGCTTCTATGAATGCCCAGTTTTCAGTAAAATGAATGGTGGGTCTTTCCCAAGCAAGACCAAAAAAACCCCGGAATATTATAAAATATTGAATATAGAATATATGATGTGTCAGCTTTCCAAGTAAAAACCTGATTTGTTAGGCATGATTTCAAATTCCACCAGAACACATCATGTATGGTTTTTACTAACCTGTATTTTATAAGTATTGACTTTAGGTTTCTACTAAACATGAACCAAATTCTCTGCCTTCCAGCGAAGGCACCTTCATTGCCTTCTTTGACACACTGAAGCACAAAAGGCCTGCATGGAAAGCTTCTGATTTTTAGATAAACTGCTGAAAGATAACCTTAAATCAAACCTTACTGTTTCCCCTTTGCTGTAAGGTAGAAAACATCACAGGCCCTAATACATCTGAGGGAGAAGATCCCAAAAGTTGAAAACATTTGGTAACTTTTCCTTGCCTTTCGGGGAAATTTCAGATAAATGTTCTTGAGGAAAATAGCAGTTAACGTGGAATATTTGGAATGTAGCCCTATTAAAATGCTAGAAAAACAGTGTTTACAGGGGCAAAATTCACAGCTGGTCCTTACAAACCATATACATATGCAAGGAGTGGGTGGGAGTAGGAGGGAGAATAGCAAGGCCCTACCTAATTTTAGGTGCCAGTCTCATGATACAGAGCTGCCATATGTTAAAGGTGAACACAGTGGGAGGGTGGAAGAGATTAACCAGAATGGATTTTCTGGGGAAAAATTAGTGTCCCAGCTCTGGGGTTTTATGCTGTTCCTGTGGGATTCTTAACTGGCAGAACATAACCATAAATTAGCATGTATGGGCCTCACTGGGAGGGCAGTTCTGCATAGACTGTTTCTCCTGTTTGAAAATCAAACCCAGAAGTTTCTAATTCACAAAATCTGTTCAATGATAGAATGAACACACACTGTTTGCACTGCTGGACTTTAATGCTAGGGCATAGAACAAAAGTGGTATTTTGTTCTAATATCGGTTACAACACTTGGTAAGCTCATTCAGCTCTACACCCGAACTAAGTCTGGGCAAAACCAGCCACAGGTCTAACTTTAAAAGTGAACATGATGGCTTTTCTCTTATTTACAAAACTTTTCCCATCCTAATGCCTCCCAGCTGACTGATAAGAGCACACACACTCATCTGGATGTAGGTGATACTTTATAAGGGCTCATTAGCCCCTTTGTGTTTCTGGGATTTACAGATAAAATGTCTATTTCAGACAGGAAAATCAGTAATTAAATTTCTTACAACAGAACAGTCTTAATTGTCTAATAAGTAAAATTAATTAATGAACTTTTTTACCTTATTATGTGGGGTTTCTTCAATACACTGGTCCTCCAAGCTCAAGACAAACAATGGAAAAATTGGAGAGGATCCAGTGGAAGGTCACCAAGATGATGAGAGGGTTGCAGAACTTGGCACATGAAGAAATGTTGAAGGAATTGGGTTTGTTCAGCCCCCTCTTCTCACAAAGATGTGCAGCACAGACAAGAAGCAATGGGCACAAGTTGCTTCAAGGGAAATTCTGTCTAGATTAACAAAATATTCCTCACTGTGAGAACAACTAAACTTTGGAATAGGGTACCCAGGTAGGTGATGGAATCTCCCTGACTGCAAATATCCAAGTCCTGGTTTGCAGGGCTCTGGGTGACTTACTCTTCAACACATGGTTAAATGAGATGACTCTTCCAATCTAGACTTCTCTGTGATTTTATTCCATTACTTTGGAATGGCAGTGGACTGCTGAAAACCCCATCAGGATGCATTCAGTTGTCACCTTGAGCAAATGGGGTCGGAATCTGAACTCCTCTTAACCAAACTGGCTGAAATAAACACTGATAGAAATTCCAGCTGTAAATTGGTGACGAAACAGGCACCAGTGCTGTGTTTCCCTCACTCACTGACTGATGGGGCACCAATCTGTGCCGTGTGTGAATGACTGGCTGTGTTGCTACATGCAAAACACAGCAGTGCTTGCCTTCTCTGTTACTTTAAAGTACACCAGGTTATCTTAAAACATATCTGAGGTCAATCTCAACCTTTCTTGTCCGGCAGGAGGAAAGTTACATTCTCAGTGAAGCTGTTCCCTACCTACTGGTGTAATTTTTGTCCTTCTGAGAACTGATAATTTATATTATGTTAGTAAGACACTTGAACTTGCTTTGTTTCCCAATGCACACTGAGCTGTAGCTCATTACAGTTTACATTACAGTTTGCTATCCCATGGTAATCCCTGGTCTTAATGCCCAGCACAGACTCATGCCTGTTTTAGCAGTCTAAAAGTTAGTTTTCTCACACTTGCAGCACTTTGTGACCAATCCTGGCAACCTGGTTGATTGAAAATAATTTACTGAGACTGAAATGATTTGCTGAATAAAGGGGTGATTTCAAAAATTGTCAGAAGGTGAGGATTCACGGGCAAGATACAGCTTTCCCTGGTAGGTACAAGGCACTGCTCAGCCCCATGTAAACGTTTTATTCATGTCAGTTATTCACATAAGTGGGTTTCACTTTAGTGTGTAACACAAGCCAGCTGGTTTGCTTCTTTTAAACTCTGATTTCTCATGCACTTCATATTGCTACACCCCTTCAGAGATATTTATGGAAATTTCACAGCAAGCTGTCTCAAGCTTATGTGCTATTAAGATTCCATTCTGGGGTGTTTACTGCATTAGATTTATAATGTATAGATTTATGGACTCAGCTACTTGATAGCCCAATAAAGCATGTTGGAACCGAAGGCAACTACTAATTAAAATAATATTTGATTGTCCTTAGCATACTGTAAAACTGCTGGGGATTTAAACAAAGCCATTGCAGCTCCTATAGAGCCTCACAGCCCAACTGCACAGGAAGAAAACTGGCAATTCCCATCCAAGAGCAGTTCAACTGTGGCACCACTTTGGGAATGTTTTCCTATTTGTATACATGGAACTGGGCTAGTGTTGAAATACTCTTAAGCCCCTCATGGCTTTGGCTGGGCTAAAAATGAATGAAAGGATTCTAAAATAGAATAAAAGGATTGACATTCACAGCCAAAGAGAACAAGAAGGTTACAGCATTAGTACCAGGGTTGTGAGGTATCAACTATTCTGATAATCCCCATTTAAACAATTAGATTAAATCCTCCTGGGAAGGATCAGCTGATAAGATGCCCCTCAAGCTAAGTTCCTCCTAGAAAAGGATATTTTCAATGTTGGTTTTCACCTTGAAATCTCCACCATCCGATGTCAGAAACAAGGGACTTATGCAACCCCTGCTCCTTGTTCCAAACTGAACCTTCTCAGATGACTTTGTACACATTACACGGTGTAGTAAGAGGGGTGAATTGCCAAGCATGCAAACAGCCTGCCTTACACTCTGCAAAGGCATTTGGAAACAGTCATGAAAGCAAAATAAGGAAATAGTTAAAAATAATATTAATTGCCATGATGTGCTATTGAAATGCTCGGTTAATTCCATTCTAATGAACTGCATTAACAACTCTGAACACCACTTGTGGTTACTCCACTCAGAAGTTTTTAGCCATAAAAGGTGATTTCAAACCCTTCTCTGCAATTAAAATGGGTAAATTTGCCTTGCCTGCCACGCAAAGACTGACAGGCAGAACTTTATAGGACAGACTACAGAAGGTAACAGTGATGGCAAGCCTGGGGCACTCTCACCTGCAATGCTGGGAGCACGTGGAGAGGGCAGAAAATTCATGATTTATTAACAATCAGATGTGCCAAAATTCCTGAAAAAGCTTTCTCACGTGAAATCTTGATTTCAAATCTGTAGTTTTAGCAAGTGGGGATAAATGCAAATTAGGCTTCCACCACCTAGAGCAGCTGAGATTCTACTGTTGCTAATAAGCATCTGGTTGTCACCTCTGCAATGGTTCAGCATCCAAGTGCAGAGCTCAGGAGGAAATGCCTGCACAGATTCAGCACATCCAGCTTTCTGCTGAGTCATCCACATACCTACGTGAGCGAGAAGCACAGCAACAAACCCCAAAATAAAACAGGAATGGGGGGATGTTTCAAGAATGTGACATCTCTTCTGATTCTAAATTTTACTTGCTATTGTTGATAGATAACACTATCTTCAAGCTCAGTTTGCAGTCACACAGGTATAAACCCAGGGTATTACCCAGAAAAGTATCCAACTTCCCAACTGTCCTATCATGGCTCTCTGCATGAACAGACAGAGCCCAAGGGAACAGTGCTCTATTTTAATAGTTGCTCTTGTATTTCTTTCTGTTGCTATGAAATTGGCTTTTAATTCACTTTCATTTCCTAAGTTATTTTTCTACAATTTTTTTTGGTATAGATCTTATGTAGTAACCTACATCTGTCTGCAAAGAAAAGCCACCCTTTGATTAGAGCTGGAATGCAGGATCATATACAGTGTGTTTGGAAACCTCTGCAGAAAAAAACCATGTCTGCTTTAATAGATCTTGCTTGAGGCAGATCGGGGTGAGGCAAGGACAGCAGAGCAGTGTGCTTGAACAAAAGGGAAAAAAAAGGTCCCTGCTTTTCTTGCCTAGTTAATGCATCAAATTCAATGCTATTTGCCTGACTTTTATAAGAGTTTGGGATAAAAGTAATTTATTTGCTGCCCTTCCTCTCTTTTAGGAGACTGCAGAAATTCACCTGCATCTTTCTGGCATCTATAAGAATTAAACTATATGCAAATTTCAACAGCTAAAACAATCTACTATTGATTAAATCCATGATATATATGGAATGGAGATGAATTGTATTTTTCACCATTTGCTTCAATTGTTGAGAGGAATAATAAATAACCCTCTATTATACAAATTAATTTTCACTATATTCTGGAAAAAAACCAACAGCATACAGTACAATGTACAATAAATTTCTCCACTAATTCTAGGTTTAAAACTGTGTTTAGTTTGAGGTGTTTTTATTACTACTCTGACTCGTTTTCCCCAGAACTACTCACTTGATAAAATACTTGATTCCATCAGCTGTATAAGCCTCTTCCCATCCATAAGGCAGACCTAAGAGGAGATAAAGAAATAAGATGTCTCTCTAAGCTCAAGTGACACACAGAACAGTTTTGAAACAGTGAAAGTTAGAACACTATAATCTCAAACCATGTCATAAAAAGATTATAAATTCCTGCTATTTCTGCAGCAAATAATAATGTAAACAATACAATGTAAGAAATATTTGCTGTGCTACAAAGCCATAACGCATTTGATGGTATTTTTATTATTAGAATGATGAGTAATACTTTTAGTAGGGTGCTATACTATATCCCTTTAAAAATTAAATTTTCCTCTCAAATCTTTACCTTTTTAATTCCCATTTGCTCAAAAGCAACTTTTTGTAGGGTTTGAAAACTGCTGGAGAAAGAAGCATCAGTCAATGTGTAAAAATGCTCCTGCTTTTGGGATACTGTACTGTAAAATATATAAAGTGCAAGGTCCTGAAAAATCGCTTTTTTTTGAAGACTAGAAATATATATAAAATTTGAATATGCGAGAAAAATTGTTCTGGAGGAGTTTTGCTTGAAAGTCATCTCCAAATGTGAGTGTCTCAGGAGTTAAACTATTTTTGTTCCAGTCCAAGTGTATCTCAAAGACCAGCTCATTAGAACCATCTGTGAGCCTGCTTTAGATTGGAAGCTTTGATTTGGGAAATGTGCTGGACCGCACGCACCAGATGAGCTTGGGGAGCTGCTTCCTACCAAGGGCTGCCCTAAGTGCACACAGACATATTTTTTTTTAAAATTCTTCTACAAGGTTCATTTGCTTCCGTTGTCACACCTTTGTCTCCTTATTTCTTAAAAATCTGGAAAGCGATAATCTCAGTTCTCCAACTGAAACAGAGCAAGGACTTGGCAGAACGAAGCAGGTACAAACCACCTGAGAAGGAATTATACCTGTAGGCACCAAGTGAAGAGCAGCAAGGAACCAGGACTCCAGAATTCAGGAAGGGAACTTGAGAGGTAAGGGTAAGAACAGCACCGTGATTATTCAGTGAAGCTTGAAAAAGCCCACTGGATTAATTTTTTTCCTCTCACTTTTACCCCATTAGTCAGTTGTCTCAGGCTTCTTCCCATTTTCAGTTTAGAGCAGATCTATACAATCTGTTCCACAAAACATGCCACCTACTACCTTGCAGAGAGAATAATCCACAGCCACTTCCCTTTAAACACAAGGTACCTGCTGTGGAGCAGTTTTCAGGCTCTGGCTCCATTGTGAGGGAAGGAAGAAAAGGATGTTTCAAGTTATAAATATGCTAGACATGATCACTAGTTCTTCCTTCCTCTCCCATGAAAGACGGGACCTTTATTCAACATGGATATTTTCTGATGATTTAAATGGCAATAGGATTCATCCCTCAATTGCTTCCATCTGCCCTGGCCTTTCCTCGCTCCTGCCTGCAACACACACATCCAAAATAAATGACAATGGATTTGCTCAATTATGAATAAAAGCTCAGCATCTGCTCTGTGCTCACATGGATCCCCTACATCACCTGTTTCATTCATCAGTGATAATTACACTTTTTTCACTAGTGATCTGATTAAAATTGTGTCCTTTTTTTTCCCTTCTAAATGAAGAACAGCACGTAGGTAGCAATGGTAACTGATGTTCTGCATTCTTCCCTTAACCACTGAAGACTATGCTTTTCAAAAACCCTGAATACATTTGTCACCTAGAAATGAAACTCTGGAGACATCTCCACAGCTTTATCTGCCTTTTTGACTTTATATGCATTAGATTGTATATCCTGTCTGTTCTTTGCTTCAAGGTTCCACTACATCTGTAGGTTTTTTTAATGCATTGATTTGCCACATTTTTACTCTCCACTAGTTTTTCACTGCTGTTCCCTTTACTCCATTCCTTCCCTTTCAGATTTGTAGTTCTATTCCTTGTATTTCCCATGGTAGCCAGGAGGCTCTCATGTTTTGCATCCTATTTCCCCAGACATGATCTCCACTTCCTTCAAGCTTGCTGTCTCCATGAATCATTCATAAGTTGATCTACTTCCTCATGCTCTATTTTTTCACACCCTCCAGGGTCAAATTTGTTGTCTGTCCCAGGACCTGCTTTGAAAGACTGCTAAGCTCTCACCTGGAGTAAATGCGAGGTAAAGGAGCTGAAACAGTCAGAAATACAGTCTGAAAGATACAGGGTTTAGCCCACATAAACTCCAGCAATCTCAGATTTCCTGCATATTTATAATTTCTTGTGTGAACTGCTACAGTCTTTGATGAATCTTCATAAATAATAAATCTCGGCTGCAGTTGTCTGCATAGATCATCTTGAAAGATTACAGATTTACAGTATTTAAAAACTAGTTCTTTTCAGCAGAAAATACAGGGCTTCTTGCTATTCAAATATTTGTGATTATTTACCTTCTGGAAGGTAAAGCTGCAAAAACAATTGTGCATGCAAAAGGAAGAACAGTCTCCTGAGAGAGTGCATTTCAGTCAAACCACATTGTAAACTACCAGTATTTTGTTCTGAGTATATGCATTTAATTAGGGTTAGTGAAAAAAAAAAAAAAAAAAGTCTATAGTTCTATGTGAAAAAAGACCAACAAGAAACCAGTTGCTGTTGTTTGTGCCCCAGCCCTGCTGCAGCTGGTCCCAGAGAGCCAGTCAGGATCCCTGGTGACTGCTTCCCTCCTTCCCTGCGAGATGCCAGCTGGGATAACCACTGCTGGAAAGTCAACATTATATAAAGCTGAAAGGAAATGAAGCCCTTGGGCAAACAGAGTCCTCCTGATCCTCGGTAAGTGAGGAGCTCGTGGATCTTTATCACTTCCCTGGGTTACCAGGACAAACAAACTGCACCGGCGCTGGCACTGGGTGGGTTGCGGGAAGAAAGATGAGCATCAGCCCAAAGGATAAACTTCCCTGAAGTGACAGACATTCAAGGCTGTGCCTCCTGTTCCCAAGGCAGGATGTGTGTACTCTCCCTCAATAACAGCTGCACACAGCATGATCAAAGTATGTCTCTAAAGGAAAAAGGGGGAAGTACAGATATTAGGAAAAAGCCTCATTTTTCCCAGGTTATCACTTATCAAACCTATAAACTCTGCAGTAATGCAGCTGGCTGGGGTTTTTTTCCTCAATAAGTTAGTCAAAAATTATTACAGCAAAAGATATGTGCAGATCAGCAGATGAAGCCAGTAAAGCAGATACCAGAGCAGAATATTCAGTTGACTCAAAGCTGCAGTTATTTCCCTAACATGGAAATACTGCAGTCCAAATACCTTCTATTTCACTTATTTTCTGATAAAATTACTCATAGGAAATGAGAGATTTAGAGACTATAGTAAGAATTGTTAAAAAAAAAAATGTACTCTGCAGTAGGATTCTATCTAGATTTGGCCTATTTAGATGCTTCAAGATAAGTACATCTTTAAGTGCTTTATTCTGGCCTTGAGGCCAGACTTTAAAACCCTCCTTCCATTACAAGCAGGCACCAAACACCAGTGATGAATTTGGAAGGAGTGCTTAGGGACAGCTGCCTACCAGAGGTGCAAACCTCACCCTAAACACTCTTTTGTGAAGCACAAACTAATTTCCAGCATTGTGCACAGCTCTGTGACCCACCATTAAAAGGACGTCTGGCTGCAATTCCTTTCCTGTTAGGGGTGAACAGTCTCGTGGCTGTACCTGGAATTAATAGCAAGTATCAAGCTTAAGGGATGTAGTGTCTATCTGCAATTCAAAAGCCACATTGTACAAATATTCTGTTTCACAATGAACCATTCTGTGACCAACAACAGAAATAAGGATGTCTTTTTTTACATATCCTTTTACCTTTTATAACTTTTCCAGTTGTACACATCTTTTTAATGTACAAGAGTATGGGCTAGCTCATAGTCTTTATTTCTCTCCTTATAATTTATTTATATTTAATATTAGATTCTCAAAACTGATGAAGTTTTTTTAAGAAACAGGAATTACCTGCTAAAAGGATTTCTGATATCCAAGATGTGCTACAGGACATTAAACCCAGTTTTCTCTGTCACTTGATAAATGTGGGTTTGAATTTTGGTCTCTTTTCAATAGCCACCAATTTCAGCTCTTATCAACACTTAAACCTTCCTCATGTGGCCTCAGTAATGAAGCAAAATTTGTTAGTTAAGATCTCCAATGCCTTTGGCTCTTCCCTTTTGAGCTACCTGGGCAAAGCAAAGGGGATGGAAAGCTGAAGGTCTGACTTGGGGGTTCTAAGTTATCTGGTCTTGGACTCCAGAGTGCTACTGGAATATGGGAATATCCCAAATAAGAGACTACAGGTATCATATGAGGTATGAGACCAGCAAAGGAACTTCTCTGTGATTTATGTAATTCGACACAGCTAAAGCAAAACTCTGTGGAGGAATATCCACCCTTGTTTGTTGAGCGTTGTCAGTGGGGTGCTGGCAAAAAATGGCCTTTTATTTTTTTGAGGCTATTAATAATATAAACTGTATTTTATTGCTTATTGGGGAATTAAATGTGAACAATCAGATTCAGAAAAAACAGCTTTCAGAAGTGAGTATGCTCTTCTGGCATTTGCTTGTGTGTCACTTTAGACCACTTCAAGTGCTCTTCCCAAAACCAAATGTGTTTCCTTTCATGAATAATACTCTGCTAAGGGGACATTCCATTCCTTTCTTTCACATATCAAATTCCATTTTAAAGAAATTGCTTTTTTCTTTTGTTGTTGGTAATTTAATAAAACAAAGATGGAGTCAGTAGTCTTCAAGTAGAGACATGTGGGAAATACTAGCAGCTGAAATTTATGTTAATTTAGAGTATGGCTGGCAGATTGGCTTGTCTCCCTTCAGTCCTGTTCCTAGAAACCATTCTTCAGGAAAAATATTTGTCTTACTTTGGATATTCAGGGTGTGGTGAAAGATGAGCTTGCGTATTCCCACTGCCTATAAATCACAATATATTGACCCATCTATGTTGGCAAACCCATTAATCTCTTATTAAAACAATTACAAACCAAGTTACAATACAGAATGAGTTATTAAATAGTTTGCTTCTCATGCTGAAGGATTATATGATCAACTTTAAGATCTTTTTGGTAATTTTGAAATTACAAACTGTTATAAATATCTTTCTTCTATTCTAATATTTGTCTGTGAAGAGCTTGGTACAGTTAATTAGAAACAGTTTGGATACAACAGCAATTGAAACATAAGAACAATGACCAGTCAACTGACTGATTTAAGGAACTAAGAACGACCTCAAACAGTACATGTGATCAGACATTAGTATAAGAATATTCCTCTCCTACTCAACAAGGGAACTCCACATTTAGAACAAACTCTGCCCAGTGTGTGCACTTAAATTCTTCAGAAATATGTGAGAGCTACATTTATCTGAGCAATGAGGTTGCTGCTACCTGTCTTCAAGAAGGATAATTACCTTTAAAACTGTACCTTTTCAGAAGCTGAATATTGGAAATGCAACAAGAAAAACCCAAGCTACGTATTTTTCAAATTAAGGCTAATTTTCTCCAGGTCTGAAGGTTCCAAGCAATTCAGACAGTTATTAAGATGAGAAGCAAACAGAGGAGCTGATGCTCATTTTTACCTCATTTTACTGTTTGTTTCACTGCTGGGTAAGTCCTCCTTTAGCCAGGGGTAAACAGCAGATCCATGGCATTACCTGCTGTCACAGGCTGGAACCTGAGCACCTACACTGCTGGAAAACTGGGAATGTCTTGCAGCAAACAAAAAGCTGGAGAAAGACTGCATCCCTTCAAATGCTCACATGAAAGGAATTCAAAGTTCTAGTAATGATTATTTTTTATGTGATGCCATCACCTTTCAGAAAAAAAAAGTAATGAATTAGCAACTTGCATGGAAAAAACCAAGCTTATTTCAATGTGCTTCTAATAAAATCAGTATGTATCACATTTGGCTTCCAAGGCCTTTCCACATACCACACTTTTGATAGTCGGGTGTTCAACAACTGGTTTTGAGGAGGCCAAGATACCATGAAGCAATGTGTCCCTCACCATTACTGTTATTTTAGTCATTTATCTATTTAATCATTAGGTCTAGGGAACATCAGCCCTCAAAAGTGAGGGAGAGTGAAAGCAGGGAGGAGTTTCAGACCACCTCGTTCTGACCAAACACTGGATTTTGCATAATCTACTGGCTGTTATTATTTACTTCTAAAAATGTTCTTAACACCCTGATTATCTGACAATTATTTTTCGTATTTTTCATCTACACTGCTTCTTTCTCAAATGCTACTGCCTGTCCAGTGAAAATACAAAAGAATGCAGTGACCAGCTACCCCCAAATTATTTTGCTTACTGTGGTTCAGAATCTGTGGATAAGGTGGAGAAAAAAATCAGAAAACTGCAGAATGCAGCAATTTACCCTTTCACAGAGAAGGCTGCTAAGAAAAAAAATCATACCAGCGCTCCTTATCCTCCAGTGGCTCCCATCTGCCTTTAGTTTGCCAACTCTAAGATGTTTTGTTTTATTTCAGTGTTAAGGGCTGCAATAACAGAGTCTCAATTAGTGACACAGCAAGAGAAATACAGCACCTGAGGATCACAGAGCTGGGAGAGCTCCCTGGTAAAGTCTTAAAAATGGTAAAAGTACGGTCCCTAGTACATTTTTTCAGTCTTGTCCAGCTTCTAAAAAAATATTCCTTTCTAAGAATTCATTGCAGGCTTTTTTTTACAGTCTCCCACTAGTGACTGTTAACATGACGGTGTCTATTTGGGATTAGTCAAGAACACATTATTGCTTCCATTGCTGACTGAACACACTGCAAGTTCCAAAGCAATTTTTGATGAACATTTGCATAAGTGAAATTGAAATTCATTTTGTTTATACCTGTGAATCTCAAACTGCTGAAGAGAAGACAGAAAACACATTATCAATCCTCAAATTAGAGAAACAGCCCATCACTGGGGAATTCTACACCAATGCCATTAGGCTAAAAACATAGTTAAATTCACAGAAGTTAAGTACTCTCTTGAGAACATTCTTGTTCTCAATTGGTACAATCCACTTTCAGCTGATTAAAAAGAATCTGGAATAACACATTCTTCTTCCAGAAACACAAGGCTCTGCACACAGAGCTTTCACAGCCAGTTCTAGGTAATAGCCTGGAATAACTGTATGGCCCAGCTCTAAACTTTTCCTCAGTTTCCCTCCTTTCTTGCTCCCTTGATCCCTCTGTTCCAGAATTCATCCATCTCCTCCTTTCCTTACTGGATCAACTCCTCTTGTCACCATCTATTGTGTGATCCACCCACTTCCATCACTGTCATCTCACATTGCTCACTGACGCATGTGATCGTTAAATGTAAGTTTAATTAGAAAAGCATTCATTGGTAACAAATTAAAATGACTGGCTAAAATTAGAATTGAGCAGAAATTGTCTGAGATTTAAAAAGCAATAGTATTACATGATAGGCCTTTCTTGCTAAGTAATATCTTACTTTTTTGCACTGATGATGCAATTAAAACTGCTCAGGGGGCTGGAATGAACCACCTACAATTGAGAGACAGAACTACTCTGCTGAGCTCATTTCACAGTAAGTACAGACCAAAGTAATACTTTTTCCTTTTGCAGAAAAACTGTAAAAATACATCCATTCAAGATATCCTTTTAGGCCAATACAAAAAAGCCTGTAGTTACACCTAAGTAAAAGAAGGGGTTTATTTACAGGAAGATATGACTTTAAAGCCAGTGTATTTTAAAAGTAATGCTAAAAGTTCTTAAAATCTAGGACAGATACATTTCATTTTTTGTTATAAATCTGAAAGGAAACAAAAAAAAATGCACAGTGTGCCTCAATTTAGCACACTGGATTTTACCTTAACTGTAAAGGTGACATTTCTAGGTAAAGGTAAAATTGTGTTATCAAAGACAATACCCAGAGCAATCAGTAATTCAAGGTAAAAATCCCCATCCAACTGCCAGTCAATGATCCATATGCCTCAGGCCATGAGGTAAGAAATCCAGTATGAGCCATACACACATTTTGTACCTCCTATAGGTCTCCTTCATAAGCACCAAGCAATTATGTTTTCCTCTTGTAAAATTCTCCTTAAAATATACTTTCAAAAAGCTTCCTCTCTCATTCTTGGCAATCAACTTTCTCTGTACTTCTTCCCATTTAAATTATCACACTTGTGCACCATACATGCCTAAGGAACTCTGCTGGCCCTCAGCTTCTCACTCCTACCTACTGAGGAGAAGTGAAAAAATGTGACAACTGCAGGAGCTGACAGCAAATCCTCCCAGCCCTCCGAGACAAGATGAGCCCTGATAGCTCCAGCACACACTGATTCCCAACAAAGGTCTGCTCATCCCCCCTCCCCTTGTCAGCTTCGATCCAGATCTCTCAGGATGCTCGGAGTTGTGAAGCCAAAGAAAATGAACTCAGCATTAGCTGCCAAAAGCAAACACTTCTCTGGTTCAGCTCCACACTGCAAGGTTGGGTTCTTTGTTGTCATTACCTGAAATAAGGAGGCAGGTGCTCCCTGAGGGGGGTGTGGACACACACGAGAGACATCGGGGTACCCACCTCCCCCCGTCACCAGCTGACTGCATCTGAACTGTGCTTGCAAGTCAAAAAAGAGGGATGTCAGCCCTGAGAGCTCAAGGTTCAATTCCCATCTTACCACCTGCATATTTCCTGA